ATAAATTCTTAGTTGTTTAGTCCAGACGACTCAAGTACTGAGTTTTGTGTCTGACTGAGAAAGTGAAGTTGTTGTGGTACAGGTCGGGGAGGAAAGTATTTCCATAATGGTAATCAGGAACTTTAGTAACTTCTTTGGACTTTGAGAGACCTGAATTGTTTGCCAGGATCACAAAAGGTGCCTCTACTTAAATAAACGCTGTGTATATATGGAAACTGAAAACAAAATATATTTTATTTTATTTATTTTTTGATGGAAAGTTGAAACCACTATGTCAATAAGAGATGAAAGAATTGGCTCTGGGACTACTGGTTTAGTAACAGTTAAGAGGAAAACCTGGGGCTATTTTAATTTCTTTGTTAATCTTCATCCAAGCATATTTTTCAATTGATTTTTAGAGAGAGAGAAAGGGAATGAGGGAGAGAAAGAGAGAAACATCGATGTGAGAGAGACACATTGATTGGTTGCTTCCCACAGGACCCCAACCAGGACTGCAACTCAGGTACATGACTTTGACTGGAATTAAATCTATGGCCCTTCAGTCCGTAGGCTGTTGCTCTAAATGCTGAGCCAAACTTGACAGAGCAAAAAAAATTCATTTAAAAAATATTTTCTGGCCCTGGCCGGTTTGGCCCAGCGGTTAGAGCGTCGGCCTGCGGTCCTGTGAGACCCGGGTTCGGTTCCCGCTAAGGGCGCGTACCTCGGTTGCAGTTTGTCAGTTGTGCGGGTGGCAGCCACTCGATGTGTTCCTTTCACATCGATGTTTCTCTCTCTCTCTCTGTTCCTCTCTCTCCCTCCCACTCTACCTGAACAAAAAATGGAAAAATGTCCTCGGGTGAGGGAAAAAAAAATATATATTTTAGGCCGACGCTCTAACCTCTGGGCCAAATGTCCCAAATATATATATATATATATGTATATATATATTTTTTTCCTGGTGTTTCTTTCTATAAGAATAGCAAGATATTTGAATTTACTTTTTTCTTTCTTTATTATTTATTTTTAGAGAGAGAGGAAGGGAGAGGGAGAGAGAGATAGAAACATCAGTGAGAGAGAACGTTGATTGGCCACCTCCTATATGCCCCCCACTGGGGTTTGGCCCCTAACCTAGGCATGTGCCCTGACTGGAAATCGAACTGGTGACCTCTTGATGCATGGGTTGATGCTCAACAACTGAGCCACACCAGCTGGGCTGAATTTACTTTTTAGGTTGAAAAATCATTCAGCTGAATTGCTGCTCGTGTCAATATGATGTCATCTTCAAAACAAACACTAGTCTAGTATTTAAAAAAATTGAAAAGCAACATAAATCTTAACTGAAGTTTCTTTGAAAGGTACTGTAGTGAATATGTTCTTGTCTTCACTTGCCTCTCTCTATAAGGTTTCTTCTGATAGAAGAACCTTGATTTTCCTTTGGAGAATGACTCCTCTGCCACTATTTGTCCCCAGACTAAGGTATATGGTTATGTATAAGATCCAGAATTTGTTAATGAGACATAATCCCAAGATTTTATTGAAACTACTTGGAACTAAGTGCTCTGTTTCTACAGGAATGGTTAGCTATAAGGATAATATAAATTGCCCACTTCTAGGAATATGCCCTAAGAAGCCTGAAACACCAATCAGACAGAATATATGTACCCCCATGTTTGTAGCAGCACTATTTACAATAGCTAAGATCTGGAAACAGCCCAAATGTCCATCAGTAGACGAATGGATAAAAAAAGCAGTGGTACATGTGCTCGCTTCGGCAGCACATATACTAAAATTGGAACAATACAGAGAAGATTAGCATGGCCCCTGTGCAAGGATGACACGCAAATTCGTGAAGTGTTCCATATTAAAAAAAAAAAAAAAAAAAAAAAAGCAGTGGTACATATACACAATGGAGTACTATGCAGCTGTAAGAAAGAAAGATCTCTTATCCTTTGAGATGACATAGAGGGACCTGGAAAGTGTCATCCTAAGCGAAACAAGCCAAACAGAGAAAGACAAGTATCATATGATCTCACTTATTTGTGGAATATAATGAACATAACAGTCTGAGGAATGGGGTAGCCCCAGAGATGTAGAAGTGGGGTACAGACTGACTATCCCCAGAAGGGGGGGGAAGATAACCACAGAACTTAAATGCATGTATGCATGAACAACAGACATGGACAACAAAGCTGGGGAGAGGGCGAGGAGGGAGGGGGGGAATCAATGGGGGGGGAGGAGAAACATCTGTAACAAAAATAAATAAATTAATTTAAATTAAAAAAAAGGATAATATAAATTGAACACTGGGGAGAGATGGGAGATGGGAAGAAATCATACATGAGAATAAACTCTTTGAAGTCAACAGAGAGAAAAGGAGACATTGTGCCTGGATCTAGCCATACCTGAAGATATCTACCCTTGGATTTTTCAGTGAAATCAATTTGAGTTTAGGACACTTGGCAAGAAAAAGCTCTCAGTATTATTGCACAAAAGAAGAATTCCATTTATTACATGTAACAAAACGTCTAAAAATCCTTTCCTCTGTTTTTCAGTATCTCTCAGTGTCATTCAGGATGGCAACTGTGCTAAATCCATAGTCCTGCTCTCTCAAATCTCCCAGAAACCTTCTCTCCTAAACTTAGATCACTCTACAGCTTTATTTTTTTCACTTTCATCCTCAAAGCTTTTCTGGCTCTCTTCCTCCTCCATTTCTTTTAACCTAACTGAACTTCGTAGATCAGTCTAGCTTTCCCAGGCTCCTTTTGCTTCTGTACCTCTACTCCTTATCTAGATCCCCACAAATGAGGCCCAGGATGCTTTCTGAACAACAAAGTGTCTTTCCTCTTCCAAAGGGTGAAAGGTTGAAAATACATGTAAATTTTCTGTTCTGATCTCATTTATATTCAGTACAATAGTATGTTTGCTTGAACATTAATTCTATTTGCCATAGAGGAGATAAATGGTAGTGAAAAAATAAAATTAAATACAAAAAATTGTTTGAAAACAGCTACTCCTGGGGTTCCCTTTGGGTAAGTTTTGCCAAGATAGTGCCTCAAGGTTTTGTTTTATGTTTTTTTGAAGGGGGGTGGGGAAAGAATTAAACTAGTTATACCAGTTTGGTTGTTTATACAAGTGAGAGAAATGGTCAGGTCCTAAATTTAGGCCAAGCTGATAGGAGTGCTAGGGATAGTTTAATGATGTCACTCACTCTATTGCCTTTTATTTCCATCCTCTTTGGGAACATTCTTTGAGTTTTCTATAGAAATAGCCAGAGACTTTCATTGACAATTGCCTCACTCAGCAGCTCCTTCATAAATACATTTAGACACTGTGCCCAGGACTCTGTTAAGTGTTCTAAGAATATTGACTCATTCAAAAGCAGTCCAGCTATAGTTGGGAGAGTACCAGCACTTGTTGCATAAAGATCTAGATTGTTTTTTCATATCAAGAGGCACCTAAAACTTCTATTATGCTGGACACTCAGTTGACCCCCAGTCTTTTAATCAATGAGCACATTGATTATAAGTGGTCTGAATACCATTCTTGAGTCTACTCAAACTGTCTTTGGTGCCCCACAGTGGGGAGACCACCTAGCATGATGGCTGCCCAGGGAACTGTCATGATGATTCTGGGAGACATATCACCTTTGAAAAGCCCCATCTTTCTTTTACACATTTTTTTTCCTTATGAATCTTCCCAACTACAATGAAGTAAAATCTATTATAGTGTTCTGGAATGGTAAGAAAAATATAAATATAAGAGGAAAAAGATGGCATGGCATATCCAGATATTTGATAATTTAATAAAGGGACTATTTGAAAAGGGGTGGGCAGGGTTAAAGGACATCCCTGGGAGTAATTACAAGCCCGAGGCCCGAAGGGGCAAGGGCAGCAAGTGGTAAATAGAACCAAAAGAGAAGTTAGGAGAGGGTCACAGAATTGGAGTAATGGCTTTCAGATTAAAAATATAGCCACTGCTAACAGAGTGGCCCACTAGGGGTGTAGGGGAATGTCCTGAATAATATCCTGCTCTGTGATCTCCTGCAGGTGTTGCCCATTGGCTAAACCAAGTGAAAGCCAGCAGACAGTTATGGCATCCATAAAGGTCAGCCCCGAGTCACAGAGAAGGATGAAGAGTGGATCTGCAGGGACAGAGGAAAAACCAGCAGTCACATCCTATTTTTCTCACAGCTAACACCTTGGTTCAGGCTTCACCCTTTCTTGCTTGGCTTAGGGCAATGGCCTTCCTGTCTGTCCTCTTGACCCATCTTGTCCATTGCTTTGATGACCCTAGCTGTTTCTAAGAGACTATATTCATTCAGCATGGGATAGGGGTATATAGACCTGAGTCCAGGACCCAGCTCTACAGTGTCAAGACCATTCCCTCAGAGACCTCATTGGTAAAATGCCAGGTGTATTTGGGGATGCCCAAAGGTCTTCCTGAACCACAATTTACTCATGCTACACATATTTTTAAATATCAAAGAATTGACTTGCAAATTTTTTTTTTTTTTTTTTTTTAGTACGTGGCGGGAACCAAACCCAGGACTCTCTGGTCCGCAGGCCAGCGCTCAACCGCTGAGCCAAACTGGCCAGGGCTCCACTTACAACTTTTAAACGCAGACAGGTGGAAATGGTGAGGCTGCATCCCTGTCTCCTTCCTGAAGACCAGGTCATCCTGGTTGATCCGCGATTGCTTCAAACCATTTCTCCAAGGACGTGCTAAAGCGCCCTGGGCAGACAGTTTCCTAGCTCCTTGGACTATTCCACCACGCAGGTAGGGGAAGTCCCTCAGTCCAGGCACAAATCCTGGGCACCTCCCCCTACCCCCACCACTCGGAGTCTTCCACGTGGGCACCAACCTTGGGGTTGGGAAGTGGGCAGCGGAGAGCGCAGGCGCAGTGCCCGCACCAGCGGCGCCCCTCTCCCCGCCCCGCCTGGCGGCTTCAGCAGCCCCACCAGTGGTTTTCCTGGCGGACTCAGCGGGCTCGGAGGCTGGATTAGGCACAGGGCAGCCGGCAGTCCCGGCCAGAGCACCAGGCGGGCCTTCCTTGTTGCAACACACAGGTAATAGGGCCCGAGAGGCGGAGGGCATCGGCGGACTGGGACTTTGACTTGCCTGCAGCCCCACCCGGAAGGAGTGGGAGCTTGCCACGAACCCCATACACCCGCTTTTAGCTGTGGCACCTATAGGGGAAGAGTCCCTCTTTTTGGGTTGGGTGGGCCCGGGGCAGAGCGCCTCGCCCTCTTTACAACCCTTCGCCGGAGCTCTGCTGGACGCCTGAAAGGCTGCAGGGACCCCATTTCCCTGCGCTGCTCGCTTGGAGAAATCCAGGCAGGGAGACGGTCGAGTCAGTATCAACTACGGCCCTTGCCCCCCGTTTCCTGCCACCCCAGCCTTCATGATAAAGGATAGGGGCTTTGCTTTCTTCTTGCCAAGAAGCCCACCCTGACAAGCGTGAACCCCTAGGGAGTCACGGGTTCAATTTCAAATACAAACTTTTAAGAATTTTGAATGGTTTTAGAAATATGACCAAGTAGTATTTTCCTTTAATCTCTTGTCTCATGTCTACAATTCTTGAACTCCAGTCCATATGAGTTGAGATTTTCGAGGAAAATAAACGGTGTGTAGAAATCTTTCCCCAAGGAAAGGCAAGAGCAGTCGTGGAGGAAGGGCCAGGCTATGGCCCAGTGTGGTGGCTGGAGGCGCAGGGCAAGTCCACTCTGCCTTCCTCAGTCCCCGGGGAGGAAAACAGAACCCTTCCTGACCCGCCTCTGGGCGCTGTAGAATTTCCACACCACGAGCTCTAATTGGCCTCTTTTGAGAGGAGGTGTGGATAGAAGGGTTGCACTGACCATCAGGAAGGAGATGGCGAGTAGGGGCACTGCATGGACCTGCATCTCCGTCCAAGCTTTTGCCGGGCTTGCCGAGGAGCCAGACTGAAAGCCCACTTATGAGTGACTATTGTGAGTCCCGAAATAGTGACGCACTGGGAGGAGAGGGCTGGGGGCGCCTGGGGAAGGGTGGTCTCTGCTGGCTATTCCGCCAGAAAGGACTTTGATTAGGGTTGCCCATGTCCATGGTGCTGAAGGGTCTCAAGCGCCTTGTTCTGTTGACTTCCTGGGCCCCGGCCTGCCTCTCAGTGCTACTCCACACCTTTGCCAGAAATAGCCCATCTCCAAGACAGGTGGGCCAGAGTGGAACCTGCGGGACACTGAAACCCTTTGCAGATGGGTTGATGCTAGTTTCCTGACAATAACATGAAAGCATAGGTGAGTCGCCTTAGGGGTGTAGATAAATAAAGCATATACTAAACACAGAATTAGAATGTCAGTATCCCCCACACTATCACCAAAATTAGATTGCTAGGTTTTAACAATCTTTGAAAAGTATTTTCCAGTTGGAAGGCAGAAAAGAATGTCTTTTCATGTATTTATTTGTCATACTATTTTCTTGTTTTGTGAGCTCATTTCCTTATTCTTGAATTGATGTACTTATATTTTTTTCTTATTTGTAAGAACTCTTTGTATGCTAAGGATTCTGTTACATATGTTGCATTTTTTTCTTGCTATTTTATTTTTAAATGTTGCTTATATTTTATATTATATAAAAATTTCAATTTTTATATTGTCAAATATATTTTTTCTTTAAAATTTCTGTCATTTACATTAGTCTTTCATTCTATAATAAAAGATAATCTACCATATATTTTATTTTATATAAAAAGATTGCTTTTTAAACTCTAAGTTTATACCCCCACTTCATTTCTTTTTAACTTTTTTTTTTAAATTCTCACCTGAGGATATGTTTTTTTGTTTTTGAGAGAAACAACCGGGGATCAAACCCACAACCTAACTGGAATCGTCCCTGCAGTCCTTTGATGCACAGGACAACACTCCAACCAACTGAGCCACATGGCCAGGGCCTCACTTCATTTCTTTTTTAAAATATGTATATATTTTTTTATCCTCACCTAAGGATATTTTTCATTGATTTTTAGATAGAGTGGAAAGGAGGGAGAGAGAGAGAGAGAGAGAGAGAGAGAGAGAGAGAGAGAGAGAAACATTGATGTGAGAGAGACATATCGATTGGTTGCCTCCCGTACAACCCCCACCAGGGCCGGGGATCAAACCTGCAACCGAGGTATGTGCCCTTGACTGGGAATTGAACCCGAAACCCTTTGGTCCGAGGGTTGACACTAACTGCTGAGCCAAACTGGCCAGGGCTAGTCTGTAGAATTTTTAACTGTTAGTATGTAGTTTTTTTAAAAAAGCTATTCTTTAGAGTATTTTTTGTAGGTGAAAGAAAATATAACACAGTATACTTTTTAGCCAAATCAAGGAATTCGTATCACTGATGTTCATAAGAATGTGCACACACAAGATTGGTCAAATGCCTTAAAAACAAAACGCTTTAAAAAAAATCCATTATGGATCAAAATAACTTTTCCCAAAAGACAAAAGAATGGTTATTGGGGAATTGATGAACTATTCCATAATATTTTCTTCTTGGGGTTTAAAAACCTTTTATAACAGCCAAACAGAATAATTTTATTGTTCTTCTAGAATAAAAATTTAAATATAGCTGATTATAGCCCAGCCGGTGTGGGTCAGTGGTTGAGAGCTGACCCATGCACCAAGAGGTCGCCAGTTCGATTCCCAGTCAGGGCACATGCCCAAGTTGTGGGCCAAATCCCCAGTGGGGTCCATGCAGGAGGTGGCCAATCGATGTTCTCTCTCATTGATGTTTCTATCTCTCCCTCTCCCTTCCTTTCTCTCTCAAATCAATAAAGAAAAAGAATTTGAATGTAACTGATTATAAAAAAATGGAACCACCATCAGAGTAGAAAATAAAAGCCCTCTAGTAAGCCATTCTCCACAAGTCATCTCCAATATTAATTTGGAATAAGCATTTTCAGATTATTAAATTCATAAATAAACATATATCTCATTGAATGTAGGATGTTATCAATTGTAAGGTGCATTTTGACTAAGAAATGTGAACATGTGCATCTTAAATTTGGTGTATCATAAATATAATCACACTATATACATGTTTCTATTTTTTCACATAAGATATGGATATCTTCCCATTTGATACATATAAGTGTTGAGTTAATATCCAATTTAAATATATTTATATTATTTACATCTTTTGGATAATAGAAACAATGCTGTGATGAACATTTAAAAATATTCCTCTATGTAATGGTGTTTTTCCTTAGAATAAATTTCTGAATGAAATTGATGGGTTAGGGAGAATGCACATTTTACATTTTGGTACATATTGTCTGCCCTCTGAAACTTGCTAACAATTTTCTCTGCAACTGGTAGTGCATACTGTTCTAAATTCTTCACTAATTTATGCTAGAAACAATCAGCCTTTTCCATTTTCCTCACCTAAGAGTGACTTTTACAGAAATTGTTTATCTTTCTATATGTCTATTGGTTATTTGTATTTCTTCTTTTGTGAATTACCTATTCATGGTCTTTGCCCAATTTTCTTTATTTATTTTTTGTTAACCCTCACCTAAAGGATTTTTTTTTTTCATTGATTTTTAGAGATTGGAAGGGAAAAAGGGAGAGAGAGAAACATCGATGTGAGAGAGACACATCGACTGGTTGTCTCCTGAAGGACTCCTGACTGGGTATTGAACCTGCAACCCAGGTACATGCCCTTGACTGGGAGTCAAACCTGAGACCCTTCGGTGTGTGGGCTGACACTCTAACCACTCACCGACACTGACCAGGGCTTTCTTAAGTTTTGAAGAGCCCATTTTTATTTTACTTTTAATTTAATTTTTTTCTATCACCATTTATCCCCTCTCTGTCCTCTTCCACCTCCTTCCATCCTCCTCCCCACCCCTGCAATCACCACACTGTTGTCCATATCCATGAGTTCTCTTTTATTTTTCCTTTTTTTGCTCAATTCCTCCCCACCCCCACCAAAGAGCTGTCTGTCTGCTTTCTATCTATGAATCTGTCTCTGTTTTGCTTGATAGTTGTTTGTTCCACATATGAGTGAAATCATATGGTACTTGTCTTTCTCTGACTGGCTTATTTCACTTAACATAATGTTCTCCAGACCCATCCATGCTGTTGGAAAGGGTACATTTTTCTTCTTTTTTATGGCAGAGGGCCAACAACTTTCATCCAAAATGGGCTGTTAACCAAGTGTCCATTAGTAGTTTGTAATTTTAAATTATTTTTATGGTTTCTTTTTTTTGCATAGATTTAAATTTTAATGGAGTCAAATCTGTTGATCGTTCCTTTGTGATGTTTACTTTGGTGTTATGCTAGAACACCACCCCAATCCCTACCCCAAGATTATAAAAATATTTTCTAATGAGATAAAGAGCATAATTAAATTTACTAAGCACTAAAACCTAGAATCTTATTGTATTTAGATAGTCACCAATTCTGTTCCTAAACAAGATCTAATAGGCTTTGTCTGTGTTGGTAGACTTGCTAGTCAGCTCTAGTTAAGGGGTAGGTAGTTGCAAGCAGAAAAGCTCAAACTGAACAGAGGCAGTGATCACACTGGCTGACTTATTTAATTAACATGGCTAACAATTCTGTTTTAGCTCTTAGAAATGGAAGTTAGTGAATTTAGTCACATGAGAAAATAGTATTTAGGGAGATTGGCAAGGAGATTGACAAATTAATCATACTTTTTAAATACTTTTATATAATTTAGAGTCTTTTCAAAGACACAGACTTAATGAAGTTGAGAGAATACATGTAGATGTAAATAATCCAATAATCAAATATGTTTTATTGGGGTTTATAAAGCTAATTTTCACAATATTTTATTTTATTTATTTTTAAATTTTTACAGTATTTTAATTCAAATTCATAGTTGAATTTTTCTAGTACCTTTTAACTTGGATAGTATTGCTAGCCACACTTCAGGTCTCCTAGCTGATCTCAGTAGTTGTTGTTCTATCTAGCAACCTAATGCTTTTTAGTTATTTTAATGAGGTTTAAACCCTCCTCAATTATGAGGTGTTTGAGAAGTCTTTGCTTCCTGGTGACCCTAGTAGAAATATACTCTTCCAGTTTGGAAC